ATATATATATATATATATATATATAATAACTTTAGTGTATAATATGTAATTATGAAATTACTCTGTATTGTACCGCCTAACCCACTTAATGAAACTCCTCTAATTAGACAGATGTTTCGCTCGCCCCACTTCACTCTGCTCGCTTCACTCAGCAATATGAGCCATACCTAACAAAAATGCTTCCTGACTATTTACATTGGATCGTTGTACCCCACTATTTCAGCTCCGATTTAAATATTCAACGAACTATTTTGGCATATTCATAAAGTCTGAGACTAAAATGACCCAATGTAGACAGTTAAGAAGGACTATTTTGGCACTTTAATATATATATATTGAAGAATTTATTAATTTAATTATCTTATAGTCTAATCTGTGATTTAAAAACTCAGGAGACCAGCAAGAGCTGCTATGAAACTATTAAGACTTCATGGTCTGAGATTGACAAAGTGGCAGCACAAAAAGATGGCCTTTCTTCATTAAGCCAAATGTTCAACACCTGCAGGTAAACGTAGTATTTCATCGTTGTTATCTTCAAACAGCTATATGTCACGGACAAAAAGTCCCACATCGGCTAGGTGTAGGGCCGAAAAATAGTATTTAAGTCCTGGGCTGCCCACCACCCCTAAGAGCTCTTTTGGGAGGTTACAAGTGGTATCAGAGCAGATTACTCCCTGCCAGGTGTGTGGACTCTTCATGGTCCAGTGAGACCCTTGGTGGAGCCGATCCGTGACGAGGGTGTCACGTGATTGGGCGGAGAAGAATATAATGGACAAAAAGTCCCACATCGGCTAGGTGTAGGGCCGAAAAGCAGTATTTAAGTCCTGGACTGCCCACCACCCCTAAGTGCTCTTTTGGGAGGTGACATACAGCTTTAAACACACCATTAAGGATGTGTTTGAGGTAGTTTGTGCTTATCCGGATAAGCCTCTTATCCGAAAACGCGGACCGCGGGGTTCAACCCACGTTTCGCGTTTAGTATTAAAAATCATTTGTACTTTCAGATAAGCTGCTCAAATACAATTTTCAAACGGTATTTTTAAATTGCCGCCGCATGTTAACTTTTATTCAGGTTGTTTATAGCTAAACTTTTTTAGAAAGTGTGCGTTACGGTGGTGTCACTAATAAACATGGCATGATTTGTTTGATATGGACGAATTAATGAAGCCGGATGAACAATTCTGAGGACCTGAAAAATGGATTGGAGGGCCTGTTCTCTGCAAGTGCGCAGTATGATGATCCGAAGATGAAGCCAGTCAGTAGAATTTGTGCAGGAATTGATAAGGAACCAAATGGAACTTCTGTGCTCCAAAGAATTGTTTCTGGAATTAAAGCAGTTTATGGAGGTTCTAAGTGCTTTGACATTGCTGGCACTGACGAGGATTTGATTTCTGGATGGAGTTGGCAGGTCTGTAATTTCTATTAAATTAAGAGCTTAATTAGTTTAATTATAATCCTTTTTTCATATATATGAGAAAAAAAAAAGTATTAACTGGTATATATGTAAATCAATGTTTTGCATTTAGGACATATCCGTTGCCGTGGCGTTTTGAAAACGTCGTCTCACCGTTTGAAAACTGAGTTTGGGCAACTTACCCGAAAACGTAGTTGGTTTTTTATACTAAACGTGGAATGCGAGTCGAACCTCGCAGTCCGCGTTTCTAAATAAACGGCTTATCTGGATAAGCACAAGCCGCTCCAAATGCACCCTTAATAAATGATAATGTATATATTTTTGGCAGGTGTGCACCGAGATGGTGATGCCTATAGGTATCAGCAACAATAGTACAATGTTTGAGCCATCACCTTTCGACCTCAGGACTTTGAGCTCGATCTGTAAACAATTATTTAATGTGAATCCACGCCCTCATTGGATCACAACAGAATTTGGCGGTCATGTAATTTTCTTTAAACTTAGATATTAATATCTAAATTTAACTTTTTTTTAAATTTAATTAAGACTAAGAATCCTAATTAGCTCCTGAGCTCAGGAACTAATTAAGTCTTAAGAATCCTAATTATTTTTAACATAATTCTACAGAAAATTAAGGACGTGCTTAAAAGATTTGGAAGCAACATTATATTCTCCAACGGTCTTAGGGATCCATACAGCAGTGGAGGGTACATCATTTCCTAATAACATTTAATTAAGGCTTTTTTCTTCATATATATATATATATATATATATATATATTTCGATTTGAATGAGCACTAACATTTTTATTTGCATAAATATATATGATTTTGCAGTGTCCTACAAAAAATATCTAATAGTATTGTGGCGTTAGTTACGGCTAAAGGTTTGGCATCTTTACATACTCTTTCAATGATTTTCATTATTGGGTATTTATATGGGATTGTTCTTAATCATAGTTTATAGAAATGTCAAAATGATAATATTTTTCTTAAATTGTGACCGGAATGGTCACCATAAAGTGCTATTAAAGCTCGATTTTGAAATAATTTGGATAATTTTGACACTTCTATAAACTACGGTTCCATGTGAATGGTCAAAGACTATTTTGGCACTTTGCTCGTGTTAAAATAGTTTTCATTGGGCAGTTTTAGTCTCATGGTTTATAGAAGTACTAAAATAGTCTCAAACTCTTTAAATTGTGGTTGAAATGGTCCCCATAAAGAACTATTAGAGCTCAATTTTAACATAGTTTGGAACTCTTTTGACACTTTTATAAACTCTGTGGCTGAATCAACCACATGTAAATAGTCGGTGAATATTTTGACACTTCTATAAACTTCGGTTGCTTCTATTTTCGCACTTTGGTCGTGTTAAAATTGTCCTTGACTATTTCCATAGGATGATTTTAGCCTTATAGTTTATAGAAGTATCAAAATAGTTTCAAAATCTTTAATTTGGGGTTGAAATAGTTCCCATAAAGAACTATTAGAATTCAATTTTAAGATATTCTAGAAATCTTTTGACACTTTTTATAAACTCTGTGACTGCATCGACCATATGTAAATAGTCAGGGACTATTTTTATAATTTCTCTTTTTTTCTTTTAAATTGTTTTTATTTTATTTTATTTTCTTATGATTGTGGTAATTTAGGGTCGCATTGCTTGGATATATTGGGATCAAATGATGCAGATCCTGAATGGCTCATCTCACAGAGGAATGCAGAGGTTAAAATCTTGGAGAATTGGATAGAAGAATATAATGCAATATATAAGATAAACAAATAAGTAAATAGACCCCAATTTGGAGCTGTTGTGAAGGAAATGAATTGAAATTATCAATCATTGTGATTATTTACTTCAATCAAATACTCATCTGAGCAAATGTAAGGAAAATCGTGCCATACGACAATCAAATACTACAGATTATTAGAGTTCATTTAATGTAACTAAAACTGAAAAGATATGGTTATGGTCATGCAAGAAAAATGCAATCATATTTATTTTTTTAAATCACTAAATATGTTCATGAAGTGGCAGAGCAGATGTTGCATAAATGAATGTTTAAAATATACAAATTTGAATTTAATGTATCAAACTTTACGTGTACTCTTACACGAGATGATTAAATTTCCTAGCAATATATTTCATTCAAAAAATATATATGTACATCAGAAACGCATCGACATGAATCTCGAGGAGATTTAACAGACTAGCCAATGGACGACAAAAAGACCCGCTTAGTCATATGCATCGCCCCTGAGCCAAGGCTAAAAGCCAACCGAGTGCAGACCTTCATGTGAAAACCCAAAGCCATACTCCTGAAATCTATTTTGTCATGTGTATCACTACCAAACCTAGCCATCTTTGCTAAGATTCATGGAGCAAAGTTAGCCCTACATTTTCTGAAGAAGCAAATCATCTCGATAATGATTGTCGTTGCCCGACAAGAGAATTGTGAAATGTTAACTTTGGTCACTGATAAAACATCCATTAACTCGGGCACTGGAGGGAGCCTTAGACTGAAACGATAGTTTACCTCTTAAATTGTGATATATCCAAGGGGAGGTGAACATGTTTGATCGATCAGAGTTGGCAACCTCACTGTCATGTCGTTTGAAAAGTGGAATTTCTTCAAAAATAATATCAGGACATCTTCAGTCAAAGTCATACCACCTTGTTAGAGTTTTGACATTTCTTGTGATTTTGGGAGGTTGAGATCCCCTAGACATTGGGATTTTGAGTATTAATTAGGAAAACAAAATATTCCCTAAAAAAGTCAATAACCGCTCTGAAGATGGCATGAAAACAAACCTGAAATTTGGGGAAATACCAGCCCAGGATAGGAGATAGGGCAACACCATCCCAAGAGAGGAGGCAACGACAACTTTAAGGGAACTCCGATATGTGAATGAGAGTGGTGCTTTCTCTCTCTCGCAATGGTCTTGTTTATAGGAAAAAAATTCAAAATTTTGGCACCAAGGATGAAAATTTTAATTTTTTTTTTGCTTTTAAATAATTTACAAGCGCACACGCACGAGCACATGTGTACGCTTGAACACGTGTGAATTCTCCGGAAGAGAAAATTTTAATTTTTTTTCCTGCTCGTGTTTGTACTTACTTTTGGATCCCAGTGCTTCTTAATGCATAATTATACTCATTTGCTTGTATGAACATACATATGCGCTTATGCATGTGTGAATTCTCTTCTAGACACTTACAACATTGGAGTAATATTGTCCAACAACAGCAGCCATCTTTAGACAACAACTGCCCATCCGCCGATAATTGTGCAATGATAACCTTATTCAAACTTTACAAAATACATTGGACAACTCAAAATGACGCATGCTATAAAATTTTGGAACAATTATTTTTGGGAAATGAGGTACATCACCCAAAAATAAGGGAAAAAAAAGCTATGTTATTAATTAATTTTATTATTTGACATAAATCTCGAGGCGTTTTTTTAAGCAATAAATGCTTCAAATTCAAATTAAAGATCATCCAGAGCCCAATTTCAACATGTTTATATTCAAATTGTTTGTTTACATAAGATGAATCTGATGATATAAAAATTGGTTTAATCTTAGTACAATCAAATCAAGATCAAACTATCTAAGCACATTGGGAGGCGTCAGACTGTTAATTGAATGATTAAATAAACTCCAAATTTGACATATTTTATAGTCAAATCAATCTTCTTGATAAAAGGAATCCAACCAGCACAAACTCCCTTAACATTGAGATTATTAAGCCCCTCCAACTATTACAAAAAACCCTCTAATCAAGAAAAATCAATATGAGACATCCAAACATGTGGTTACATGAGTTATTCACCAAATAACCAAAATGCCTCTCTTAGACGCTATAAATAGACCTCCTCTTTTCACTTGAGAGAGGAGGGGAAGGAGTGATATTTCAACGATGTTCTGGACTGAATTAAATAAATCTATCGTCCATCTACAAAGTTTTCTAATAATTAGTTTGGATTTATACATTTATGGAGAGGTTTAATGGAGAAGTATAGAGAGAATGAGGAGGATCGACATAAGATTTTTATTGATTTAGAAAAAGCTTTCGATGAGGTTCCAAAAGAAATCCTTGGAGAGTTCTAGAGAAGAAAAGTGTTGACGTGACTTATATTCAAGTCATTAAATATATGTATATTAGAGTTGTTACTTGTGTTCAAACAAAAGGAGGATTGGCCAAATATTTTTCATATTTCAGTTGGATTACATAAGAGATTGGCTTTAAGCACATAACTTTTTGCTTTAGTTATAGATGCTCTTACTGGACATTTACATGAGGATGTACGTTAATGTATGTTTTTCGCTAATGATATCCTTCTCGTGGATAAGACTCGAGCAAGAGTTCAGAAAAATTTGAAATATGGAGGTCTACATTGGAGTCTAAAAGCTTTCGTGTTAGTAGATCTAAAACTGAATACATGGAATTGAATTTTAGTTGCAGTAGTTCTTGTGGCAGAGTTGTAAATCATTAAAAGGTGTGATCGTTTTAGATATCTCAAATTCTCGATTATATTATTCAAAGTGATGGTGATATGGATGGGGATGTTATTAGTAAAATTCAAGTTGGTTGGTTGAAATGGAGGAATGCTAAATTTTACATATTTACATATTTATTGCCTAAACTTTAATTTTTACATATATGTCATTTTACATATGCATAAAAAATGTTTTTCCATTTTCTGAAGTCAAATTAATAATATTTTTTAAATTTGATGTGATTTAAAAGATTTGAGTGGTATAAATAAAAACAAGTAAAACTTAGGTGCTAGCTATCTAAATATATAGGAAATGGCAGGTATGAATGTAAATGGTATTAAATGACTCAAGCCAATCAATGTTTAACATTATTTATTTAGATTTCAAACTTTTAATATTTTACTTACATTTATAAAATTATATAAATGAACCAACACATCTAACTCATAAAGAGGCATGAAATATACCTCTCCATCCTCGCATGAAAAACACACAATTTTCAAGTCATCTCCTTCCATCTCCCTCCAAAAGAGGCATTTACATCTAAACCCCAATTCCTATATATATATATATATATAAACTTCACTTTTTACATGTATGCAACACACAAATCTAACTCATAAACTTCAAGTGTTACATTTCTAAAAACTTAGGAATTACTTGGTATGTATGTAAATAGTCTAGCTAAGAAAAAAAAAAGCAAAGACAAAACAAAAGTTAAACTCTAAGTTGAAACAAATCATTCTTCAAACATATGCAACACATCACATACATCTAGGGCTGTCCAAAAAGATCATTGTTCGCGAGCAGTTCATGTTTGAATCATTTGTAAGCTAACGAGTCAAACACAAACAAATCTTCTAAACAAACAAACAACTCTTTGCTAAATCAAATTCGACCAATTTTAACTCAAAATAAAAAAAAAAATTATATATATCATTTATATAATAACATATTCTATAGATATATATCAAAATTTAATTCATAAAAATTAGTATGATCTTGTGGATATGATGTTTAGCATCTTATGTTGCACAAAATTAGTGCAGGCTCAAATCCAACTCCATATATTTATATTTTTTTCTAGTTAATTTTATAGCGCATATTACGTTAGGACTCCGAACGTAGAGGTACGTTCAGAGTTCAATAGTAGCTGTGTTAATGGAATATCCCGCTGTGTTATAGGAATATTCCATCAGTGCTATTTGTAAAAAAATGAAGTGTTATTCGAGTATTATGTGGTGTTATTTAATTATTTTGTGGTGTTATTGGAATATTCAACTGCGTTACTTGATTTGGGGCTATGTTATTCGTCATATTTCCCGTGTTATTTCAACTTTTACTATGTTATTGTTGGAATAACACAACCCCAAATCAAGTAACGCGGGGAAAGATTCCAATATTACTTCATTTTTCACAAATAACGCTGGTGGAATATTTCTATAACAATCCGAACATAATTTTACTTTCGGAGTCATACTCAATATCTTTTTCTTAAGGGGCAATTTCAAATCAAACGTAAACAAACGGTTGTCTCAACCACAAAATCTTGGTTTTAGCTGAAGGAACGAATCTGAAACCACTGGCTGTCACCACCGGCAGCTTCAGCGTCACCGCTGAAACCTCTGCAACGGTTGGTGACAATGGTGCCGTCCTCGTCAACATCCAAACAGAGCACAGATCCGTCCTTCATCTGCGTCGAGAGATGAGTCGTCTGCGATCCCGACACCGGAATCCATTGGGAATCCGATTCGTCGCACGCAATGCTGAGTATGGCGGGGAGATTGGGTCCGACCGCTTTCAGGCAGAAGTATGTTCCGGTGATATTCAAGAACTTCTGCGGAGTGTATTTCCATGAATCGCTCTGTTCGCATGGCGCGAGGATCAGGGGATCCTCGTAGCGCAGCCTGAAGATGCAGGAATTAGATGGTGGGTGGAAGATTTTGAGGCGCGGGCGGACAATGGCGGTGCTTGCTTCGTGGCCTGCATGATCAGTCGAAGTAAGTTTTTCAGGAGGTAACAAATATGTATCAGAAGCTATTCATTTTAAGAAAGTGGCCATGAAAGATCTCGATGATGTTACAACGTAGCTACTGCCCCAAATGTAAGTATTTCTTGTTAGAAGAGATAGAAAATCTAATCAACTTTGATAAAAAATATATTATATTATAAAAATTCTTAATTTTGGGGGCTTTTATTTATTTATTTTTCTTCTGCCAAGAATTCTTGAGTGAGGAACGAGAGGGGAGATAGATCAACAACAGAAGAAGAAGTGAGGTGTGAGAGAATTTAAGAGACAATTGCTTGTATTTACAACTGTTATCAATTGTGAAGAAGAGAGATAAGTTCTTTTCTAAAGTTTACTTTCTGGATTGTCATATTTTACATTCAAGGCTTCTGTATTTGATTTCTCTGTCAATCAAATGAGTTTATTTGTATTCAAACTTGAGTAGTGAGTAATATTATTTTTCTCCCTTAGAATGGGAAAGTAAGATTAATAGGTGTGAAATTTTTTGTTTGATTTTGAATTAATTTATTTCCGATGATGATTAACTTTCCAATCTTACTTTATATTTCATTTTGGTCATATGATTTGTTAAAATCGGTTGTGAGTTATGAGTCTCCAAAAAAATAATAATGGAATCAACTAAGTTAATCACGTTAGCCAATGGAATAGGAATATAAACTGAATGGTGATGCAAATATAAAGCGAGAATGTTTTGATTGGGTTAGAAGTAGGTTTTATGAAAATAAACCTATTGTCTAGCCAAACTTCTTTATGATACCGGAAGGGGGTAAAGAAGAGTATTGTTCCCGTTTGTCACCGTGATTTTCTACACGGAACTTTCACATTTCAAAGTCTTATTTGAATCATTTCAAGGGAGAACTTTTAAGTACTTGAACCCTTCAATTTCTCTGTTGTGGACTTATAATTGATTTTTTAGGATTTACATCAAATCAACATTTCAGGATAGGATCGACATCTGTAGGGTAGAACTTTTCTTAATTAAATTCATCTTGTTCCTTATAGGATCGACAACCGGACTCTCCAATTCTGGTACTACTAATACGCCACATACACTTGCGTGTGCCACCCAAGCTTTGCAGCACCTGGTGCATGTCAATAAGTTGGGCATGCATAACATCTATTCACCAATTTGAGGGGAGAGTATTAATATTATCAATAGCAGGATGATTGCCCACCTCAAAAATCTGTCCAAAATCATGCTTTGTTTTTGATTGCCAATATTATATATTAATTCGTTTCTTAATTTTTAGGCTAACAATTGACTGTTTATCACATTTTAAAAAGTACATTTTTCTACTGTTTGAAACAAAAAATAAGATTCAGATTTTCTATCGTGTTACCTCTTATTTTTCCAATAGGTCTCGCAGAAATAGTATCTGATAAGAATACATTCTACAAACAAACAAATTCGATAAAGTTGTAATGAAATCATGCTATATCGATTCAGTAGTTAAGCAATAAAGTCATTAATAACTAAGTTCAGTTCAATAAAAATTACGTTGTTAATAAGAATTCAGCCATATGGAGCAAGACATGATTATATCACAAAAAATATTGAACAGAATATGCACACAAAAGACTTGTTGCTCATGAAGAATTCCAAACTGATTTAACTAAAAAATTATTTTCTGTAAGGAAAGATTGAGCACTCAAGGTTTTATACATGTAGAGAGAATCAGGGTCCAATTTACCTTCAAAAGAGGGATTTGCATAAAATTCTGAAGCACCTATTAATATGGATACATAGATAAGTGAAGGTGTATACAAGACCATACAACGAAACAAAATTGTTGAAATGCATAAATCTTATATTGAAGAATGAGCATTTTATCCTATTATTTGATAAATTCCTTCATTTACAACACTTTTTACTCTTACAAATCTTAAATCCTAAAACAAAACGTTAAACTATAAATTAAGCTGTAAAAGTTGCCATGACAAGCAATTTTTAGATTCAAATCAACTTACAAGTTTACTGAATTTGAATTTATAGAAGTTATTGAATCCTACTTATGGCAAAACAACCTTGATTTTGTGAGCTGAAAACTCCATTCACTCCAAAAAAAGAAGACTAATTTTTTAAGAAAACATCAATTAAAGCTAAATCATTTAGAAAAACAACAACAACAAAGCCTTAATCTCACTACATGGGGTCGGCTACATGAATCTTGTTTCTCCATTGTGTCCTATTTAGTGTCATATTTTCATTTAGTTCTAATAAATTAAGATCATTTTTTATACAATAAGCCCAAGTCTTCCGAGGTCTACCTCTGCCTTTCTTAGCATAAGTCGAATCTAAAACATCTACTCTCTAAATCGGATCATCAGATGGTCGACGCTTAATGTGACCAAACCATCTAAGACGACTTTCTCTAATTTTGTTCGTCACAGGAGCTACACCAACCCTATCTCGGATATAAACAGTTGCATTTTGTCTCTAATTGTAAAGCCACTCATCCACCTAATAATTCTCATCTCGGCAACACTTAACTTAGCACTATACTTCTCTTTTAAAGGCCAACATTCAGCGTCGTAGAGCATTGCAGGTCTCACCACCGTCTTATAAAATTTTCATTTTAGTCTAAGTGGTACTTTTCTATCACACAAATGGCCCTAAGCATTCCTCCACTACAACCAACTAACTAGAATTCTACTATTAACATCCCCATCCATATCACCATCGCTTTGAACAATAGACCCGAGATATCTAAATCGTTCACATCTTTTAATAATTTGATCACCCAAAGTTACACTTTTGACACTAGAGCTACTATTAGTAAAATTACATTCCATGTAATCAGTTTTAGTTCTACTCAAATGAAGGCCTTTAAACTCCAATGTAGAACTCCATAATTCAATTTTTTTTCTGGGCTTTTTCTTCATCTTATCCAAGAGAAGGATATCATCAACGAAAAGCATACACCAAGGTACATCCTCCTGTAAATGTCCAGTAAAACCATCCAAAACTAAAGCAAAAAGGTATGGGGTTAAAGCCGATCCTTGATGTAATCCAACAAAACTAGGAAAATATTTGGTCAATCATTCTTCAGTTCAAACACAAGTAACAACTCTATTATACTTATCTTTAATGACTTGAATATAAGTCATATCAGTGCCTTTCTTCTCAAGCACTCTCCAAAGGATATCTCTTAGAACCTTATCGTAAGCTTTTTCGAAATCAATAAAAATCAAATGTAGATTCTCCTTACTATCTCTCAACTTCTCCATCAAACCTATCAATAAATATATAGCTTCCATAGTAGATCTGTCCAGCATAAATAACTCAACCACCTTTGTTTAATATTTTTTTATAAGAAAAACACTTTTTTATTTAATTCACTTTACTTGAGTTATATTTTTATTTTTCTTTTCTTTTTGTTTGACTAGTTTATGCATATATTTTTCACATTATTTAGTATCTAATCTATTATAAAGATAATTAAAAGCAGAATTTTTAGCGTCACAGATTGTTCTTTTACCCTCGCTGCAGACCGTTTGATATTTTTCCCAATTCTCTAAGTTGTTACATTTAAACCAATTTTTATAACATCATTTCTTATATTTTATCTTTTCTTGCATATTATTATTCTGTCACCAACTATTTTTATTTATAGACTATTTTTATTTATAGAAATTTTTTCTTTTGATTCTCTGAGGACACCTTTTGTTACTTGTTTAATAGGAATTGTTATTTTATCCCACATAGCATTTGATTCATCATAAACATCCCAAATTCTGAAATCTTGAATTTTACTCATAAAAATAATTTTATGTGTCTTTTATGTTCCCCCGTCTAATTCTACGATGATAGGTTCTAGTATTTTTTATTTTACAACTCTTCATTTTAAAATCTAGAACTAATAAACGATGTTGAGTGCTTAAATCCTCACTTGGAATGACCTTACAATCTTTCCAATTTCAACAATTTTTTCTTCTCATAAGAAAATAATCAATTTTTGTTTTATTAGATTCATTCTTATAAGTAATAAGATGCTCATCTTTTTTTTTTTTAATAAAGTATTAGTAATAACAAAATCATATGCTAAAGAGAAATCTAAAATAGCTCTACCTTCTTCATTATTCACTCCAAAACTGTAGCCTCCATGAATATTTCTGAAATCTTCTACCACTCTATCGACATCTATTTAAAACTCCTCAAATAAAAATTCTTTCTTCAAGAGGTACAATTTGTATTAAGTCTTCCAAGTCATTCTAAAATTTATCTTTAGACCCTATATCTAAACCTACTTGAGGAGCATAAGCACTTATAATATTAAAAATCTTAGTCTCAATGATAATCTTAAGGTATATAATTCTATCTCTAACTTTATTAATTTTTACAAAATTATCTTTTAAACTCTTATCTATAATTACACGTACATCATTTTTAGTGCAACCCTTATCAGAACACCAAAGTTTAAAACCTAAGTTATCAATCTCCTTGGTATTTTCTCCAACTCATTTAGTTTCTTAAATACATAAGGTATTAATCTTTCTATGAATCATAAGATCATCTAATTCCAAAATTTTATCATAATATTGATTTCATTAGTTTCATTGACTAACTTCTTTACACGCATTCGTCTGTAATGTGGCAACCCTTGCTTATTTAACACTAAACCCCGACGTCGGTGTAGCAGCTCTTGCATACTTTTCACTATATTCAAGTTATACAACAAGTCGCTTCCAGGGGACGCCCTAGCTCTTACACAATGATCAAAAGGATTCATGTCATGATTTTTTCGACAAGTTTTATGATGTATGTTGATTACCTAACACAACCCTCCACTTTTCACATTCGGGCTTGGGACCAACAATGACAGTGTTTAAATCATTTAGAAAAACAATGAGAAAAAATAAATAAATAATAGTTCTACCCATTAAACAAGTGATGAGCATTTCTTCTTTAGTAAATATTTTTGATGTAGTAAAGCGAGTCACCTGTTGAACGAAAAAAATATTGCGTCCGGAGTCCAGTGACAAAGCTACGTTCGGATAACGGACGTGATACACCGGATGGAACAGAAGAGAGAAACAAAATGTCGCCCCCAGTGTATCGCATTCGTTGTATGGAAGTAGTTTGCGTTATTACTCTAGACACAATATTTTTTCAACAGGCAATTTACTCCATTTTATTTTGAAATTTTTAAGTGAAGTTATTTCTCTTTCCTTCAAAAATAAAATAAGCTTGAGATATGAAATACTATTATTGCTTTCTAAAATATATTTTATATCTTGAACTATATAGGCATGATTTTTTTTTGAAAAATAAGAGTAAACCAAAACCATCCATTAGATGGAATATCAATAAAGATTAAACCTGCAGAACAACAAATGGAAGCAAACCAATACATTTGAATTTGTTGTCTTCAAACAAGAGTTAAACTGAGGTGAATTAATTATATGAAATGGTATTCCTATACCTGTAATTTGTAATTCATTATTATTAATATCATTAATTTATCATTAAATTAATCATGATACTTGATATAAATTACGAATCTCAAAGCACTTAAAACATCTTAATTACTTGGATTTTTGTTCTCATTTCTCCTAAATGATTCAGCTTTATCTTGTGTTTTCTTCTAAAATTCTGCCCCAACTTATCAACTGAAACTTCCAAAATCTTTCTTTTGAACTACTTAAACAACACTCAGATTAATATTATAGCAGGATCCAACCATGGCGGAATCGCCTCTTTATTTTCTGAAACAAAATCAGAAATCACATAAAACTCGAAACGGTTTACAACCTAAGGTATGAATCCCTCTTATAAAATAAGAACATCAGCACACTTCTCAGAGGAAGAACTCTGCTCTTATGCAGACTGATTCCAATAAAGAAAATCATAGAGAGAAAATGTTCCAGGAAATTTAGAGAGAACGAATCTATGCAACTAATTACAAATATCTACGGCGGCGAAACAAAAAAAAAAAAGGTTAAAATCAAACCTGTGGGAATGGAAGGCAAAGCCGGAGGATTATGAGTTTGAAGCAATAGCAACTGCGAGGAGAGCAGAGAAATCACAGAAGACAGCATGGTTAGGGATCTGTGGAAACGTTTCAACCCTCTTCGAGTCTTCTTCAACAACGGAAGGTTGTTTATGCCGCTCTCCCTCCCTCTCCCTCTTCTTCTCCTCCGGCCCGCTGATCAGCTACTTAACCACCTGCTTTGAATGAGAAATATACAGCAAATATATAAAATATTTAAATCTGTATTGAATTTAGGTAGAATTTAGGTATTTTGAGTAAGTAATTAATACATTTATTATTTAGAAAAGAGAGCTAAACGAGCAACATGAGCGATGTGAACTCATGATCTCATAGTGAGAAATTATATCGTCAATCACTGTGTTGTAGATAAGGGAACAAATATTTCAACATGATGAGATAAAATTATGTGCACTCACCTTAACACTAGAGGCATTTACATACATATCATTTAATTATTATATATTTAAATATCGAGAAAATTGTCAAAATGGTCCCTAAACTATTTAAAAGGGTTATTTTAGTTCTCGATTTTTAGAAAAAAATGTCTTTTTTTTTTTTTTTTTTTTTTTTTTTTTTTTTTTGAGAAAATGTAAGGATCATACCCAACTCTATTCAAAAAGAACAAAACGAGTTACAAAATGATATCTCATATTACAACTCATATGATGAATAACAAAAAAGAAAAACACCAACAATAATACAATAACCCAGCAACTAAAACAATCCAACAATAACGACAACTGAACAGCAGCAACACGAAATAACCACAAAGCAGCACTCCAATCAGCAACAACAAATCCTCATAAAAAGAAGAAGCAGTCCACCAGAATAAGAAGCACCGTAAAGAAAACAAGCAGAAGTAGCAGAACCACCAACAAACTACCGAAATACAAAGAGAGAAATGATGAACAAAAAGAAAAATAATCTAAAAGTTTATGGTGTTAAAAATAAGAGTATTTTTTAGAATTATGCTTTTTTAGGTTATGGGCCAAAATCCAAGAATATAGGTGTTAGATATACGTAAATACACAAGAATTGAGTAAATATAAATCTTCCTAAAAAGAAATACAATTCTTTGATAGCAATTAAGGTTCTTGAGTTTTTCTTAGGGCATCACGATGTTAATTAAATTTAGTTGAGAGGTAATTAGTTGAATAAATTGAACTAGGGCTGTAAAAAAAACTCGTTGTTCGCGAACAGTTCGTGTTCGGTTCGTCAATGAATTCGTGTTCGATTCGTTCGATAAGTAAACGAGACAAACGCGAACAAATTTTTTTCGTTCGGTTAGTTAAACGAACCAAACATGAACAGTGATGCGTTCGTTCGTGTTCGAATCGTTATTGTTTGAAATTTAAAATAATATAAAATAATTATATATAAAAAATTTATTATATTTTAAAACATTAAATTTTATAAATTATAATATATAATAAAATAATAATAATAATATATTAATATACTATAGTAGTAATATACTAATATAGATATTGTATATTTATATAATATAAGTTATATAATTAATATATAATATTATTTTTATATATTAATATTAGGGATGTCAAATTGGCTAGTCGTTCGCGAACAGCTCGTGTTCGGTTCGTTCGTTAAGAAACTAAAACGCGCTTACGTTTACACCCCTAGATTAAACATAATTAATATGATGAGATTTGTTTGATTATGGTTATTTAAAAAATAACAAATAGTTAAAAATATTAATAATTGGAATCCCCCTTCTTCAAAAAATATTAATATAATTTTGTTAATAATTTTTATGATTATAGCTACCTTTGAGTGCAATATAATACTGATGGAACTAAAGACATTATTTCATATTAATGCTAGTTAATTACTTGAAATTATGCATAAATAATTTACATGACCGAATGAAGATACAATGAGGGGTGTCTAAAATGTCATTTAATTTCATACAAATAACTTATTTTGAATCATGATGATTTCGAGTTTAAAAAAATGTCTCGAAAAATTTCAATAAATTTGGGTAGTTTAAATTCATATTTTGTAAATATAACAGTCAAAAATAAATTTAAAAAAAAAATTAAATATATTAAAAATATTATAACTTCAATCAACCATAACCACTAAACGAACCGTTACGAGATTCTTGTGATTTTTCAGATTTAAAGAATATGTATGTAATCCACTTTAAATTTTCAAAGGACTTGCTTCTATTGTATTAAATAAAATAAAATTATTATAATCTCATATAAAAAAAATCACTTCAAGGAATCTTATAAATTATAACAACAATAGTAGAAAAATAGATCCTTGAATCATAAATAAATAAAAACATTCATGAGTCACGTGAATAAAAGCTCACATGTAACTCCACATTTATAAGATTAACATAAAATTTGACCACGACGCAAAAAAAAAAAAAAAAAAAAAAAAAAAAAAAAAAAAAAAAAAAAAATTATTCCAATGCTCGAAGGGTTAATGCACGACAAATTTGTAAAATTAAACAGTTACAGCATAACAAAAAATGTAAACAAACGCTCATACATTCTACATATGATCATCTGAAGTAACCGAACAAAGTATGTAAGTGTAATCATCAAAGTGTTTGTCAAAAGCTGTGTTTTTAGTTGATCTTTTTTTTCTTTTGGAGCGATGTACCTATCAAAATAAGAAACTACAAATGAATTGATAGAACAAAAAAATAACATTTAGTAGTACAACATAACAAATTAACTTACAATTAGAATCAAATTCCTCTCCATGGGAGCATAACTTGTCGAGACACCTCCTTGATCCAACTGTACTTCAGGTTTTGGCTCACTATGTGCAGTCCAGTAACAATAATTAGGTTTGAATCCCTTGAGGTAAAGATTCAACTTAACTTCGTCGGGTGGTAAAAGTGCTTGATATTTGTGTTTCGCGCAAGGATAACAGAACTTACCCTTAGAAAGATAGATGTGCAGTTGTAATGTCACTTGCACAAATTCCTCAATGATATTCAAGAGCTTATCTGTGAATCATTTTTGTCCAGGATACAATTTGTTATACACCCAAGCTCCAAAATTATGGATATTCGTATGCAACATAGATGTAGTTTTACGGGTCAGTCAACTACTACGAAAATAAAAATTAGTCAATACTTATAATAAGAAGTCGACACTACTTGGTCAACAACCAATTGCAAGCAACCAACTTAAATTCTACTAATAACAAACCCATCTATATCACCATCACTTTGAACAAAACCCGATGCACTCCTCTTCTTCAACCAACCAAGATTAATTCAACTAATAGCATCCCTATTTATATCACCCTCACTTCAAAAATTTGACCGAGCGATGCATTCCTCCAATTCAACCAACCATCTTCAATTTTACTAATAACATCCTCATCTATATCACCATCGTTTGGAACAATAGACTCGATCGTGGCATTCATTTACTTCAACTAACCAACGTGAATTTTAGTAATAACTTCGCATTCTATATCACCATCATTTTAAACAAGACCCGATGCATATATTGCTTCACTTCAACAAACCAACTTGATTTCTACTAAGAGGTAAATACATACCACTCAATACGTATGTATTTACATAGCTAACCCCTACGCTTTAACTTTTATGAAGATTTCATGCATACCACTCAATACTTATGTATATACATAGCTAACACCTAAGGTTCATTTCTTATGAAGATATTCATACATACCACTCCATTTTTATGTATATACATACCTAACACCTAAAATTCAATTTTTACATACATACCACAAACCTAACACCTAAACTTCAACTTTTACATCTATACCACATTTACATAACTAAACAAAAATTTAAATGCGAATGATTTAAAGGCACAAAAGGAATTACCTTCCTAATAATTTTCTGATTGGAGTGAAGGGGAAGGATGAGAACTATGAGAGTTTCGGTGGTCTCTGTAAGACGAGTAACTTCATTACTTTCCCGGCTAAGCTAGCTAGCCCTAATGGCGACTGAATTGCGACGGACGATGGTTTTGAGCGAAAGTGGAGAGCGAGGGATTCGAGCAAAAGGGAGGATGACATGTCACAGAGAGGAAATAAATGAAATTTAGGCTCAAGAGATGCGAATATTAGGTAATTTGGTCGGATTTCCGTAGGATTTGCGTCTCACTTGGTTAAACGCTAACAAATAAAGGTTTTGCGTTGCTTAGTTTGATGCAAATAGGATGCAAAAAAATGTCGCTACTCTAAACAAAGTTTCACTATTTTCAGAGTGCTTTTTCTGTCAAATTTTCAAGCGTAAATCGGGCACAAAATCGGACGCAATTATTAAAATTTATTATTCGCCTCTTAGCGCTCGCAAATTCAACCCTAACATTTGTGTCGGAATATTCCAATGCAAATTTCGGACGCTAATATGCGCTTCTCCTATAGTGTTTGTTGAATGTCCATCTTAGTTTTTTTTTATATTTAGTTTTATTTATGCTTTTGTTTTAACAGCGTATTTATTTAATGTATTTTTAATCATCTTTATTATTATATATATATTTTTTTTTAAAAATCAACTTATTTTTAAAAACATTCAAAACATCATCACCATTAAATATATTTTATTCAAATAAAAAGAAAATTAATAATTATAAAAAAAGGATTTTTACGTATCAATCATCTAAGACACTGAATATAACTTTAAATATAACATTTTAATCACTTTATTCATTACAGCCATCCTCTTTTACCCGTTTTTAGTAAAAGTTTTGGATGGGTAAAATGTTAAAAATTAGAGGGTTAAAATATCATATTCAATTTTTTTAGGGTAATTATAAAAAAATCCCTCATAAAGAGTGAAGGATGTGCATCATATGACTAGTGTAAAGTTTATATATTCAAAAATGAATTTTCAATTAAAAAATCAAATTATGCTGTCAATTTTAATTTGGGACCACTCAAGCCTCCAACTGAACAAATTTATGGCTGAAAGGATTGAAGTGCCAAGAAAGTCATGCAAATATCAATATTTGTATTTACATATCTGACACAAATTAAGTTTTTTTTTACATTTATACCGTCTAAATCTTTCATATCACATCGAAAATGTCATTATTTTAACTTCTAAAATATTAAATACAGACTTCCGTGCACAGATAAGATGGCACATATGTCAAAATTGATGTTTAGGTCCTAGATATGTGCATGCATAAGAATTGAATGGTATGTATGTAAATTTTCTTTATGCAAATTGAGGATTTTCATTACTCTTTCCAATTACCTTAAATTTAATATTTATGGCCTCTTCAAATTATTTTGGCATCCGCTTTGCAACAATATGTCACCCGAAGCTCATTAACATCAATACTATTTATGGCCTACCAACTAACACTAGCCATCAATTGATGTATACACCCACAATTGCTCTTCGCACAACATAATTTGTCAATCATCACGAGCACTCTTCATTGATCCCCATACAATGTTGATGCCCTCTATTATTTACTGCACGAGTAAATTCAACAATAACTTATTATCTTTTGGCAATAATTGGCCAACACAAACCCTCACCACCGTTTATAGCTTGACTTTTATCCCTCTAATGTCAACTTTTGATCGAGCGAATGCTATTCATTATCATTGGCAAATGCTAGCCATTAGCTAATGTCAACACTAAATGTCATCCATTACCTAATACCAATGATCGCCCAAGATGACATTCATAATCAATCAACATTTGTAGTCATCTTCCACTAATTTGATGATTGTCTTTGCCCATAGCCTTATATCGGTCGTGGACTAATGGTGTTTCTGATAATTATTTACCATTCAACAACAACCTTCTACTGAGACTAATGCCTAACATTAACACACATTATCAATCACCAACTGCGTCAGGTCATCAACCATCGTTTATACTCGCTATCGCTTACTATCAAATGCTCTTCAACATACATCATTTGGCATTCCCATCGTTTGTCTTTTGATATCGATACTGTCCCTTTACTAACTTTAAACGTTTAATAAATAATGTCATACCTGCATATTGTCATAAGTTTTCACATTGTTAAATGTTTGTCAACTAATATTTTTCAATATCTATAGTTAATTAAAATCCAACAACTTTCAGCTCCCAGCCTCTGTTATCATATTTCTTCAACATCAAATACTCACCAAACAACATCGCCAAACATCCATAGTTAACAAAAGTTACTCTTGATGTTCATGAATGTCCAATTTCAAGTATTCATTATAATCCTTCATCAACAATTCCTCAACAATTACTTCCAAGAACAATTTCACATAATTTAAGTTTTAATATAGTACTTCATCCCTCTCTAATTAGGGCTAAAATAAGAACATTTATAAGTTTACATTCAAATTAATGCATTTATTTCAATTAATCTAGATCTTATCAAACATTTGCCAAACACCACCCTAAGTCCATAGTTGATTGATGTAACTCCCAATGCCTATTAATGCCCAACACCCTAAATGAGCATTATATATATATATATATTGTTATTAATAAATATTTTTTATAAATCTAAATAAATAAGTAATTGAATAAATTTTAAAATAATGATTAAAGATTTTAATCCAATTAGAAAAGATAATATATAAACTATAAGTAAATTTTCTTAGTCAAATGATATAAATAAATACTAACAAATTAGTTTATTAAAGTCACGAAATAGAAATGAATTGCATCATATTAATAAAGATTTTGATATTAAGCAATTCAATAAATTATAATCAATTATAGATCATGCAATAAGTTTCACGTTAAAAAACAAATAAGTTTGCTCACGAACATAAACGAATATATTAAACCGTACTTATAGACACATTAATCTTCCACTTTTAAAAATGCTTAAATTTATTTATTTACTAATTTAAATAAATTTGATCGAGTATTAAGAGCCAGATTCGAGTTGTTCGTGAAGTGCAGTGGTTCATTTAAACCTCTACTTTTCTTATATTAAAACATAATATTTAAAATGTACAGTTATAGATAATTAAAGTATTGCCTCAAATGAATAATAATTAGAGTAGGGAAAGATTAATGTTTGTATCAACTGAAGAAATCTGAAGCCATTAACTGCCACTCTTAATTAATATGACTAATGATTAATGCCTGTTATACTCACTAATCTCCTCTTTTTTCACTAAATTCCATTGTAGTCATCATAAATCAAAGCTTAATCTACAAAGAGAATATTAAAAATAACACAAGCTTTTAAATCCAACGCATAAAAACACAACTATTCATCAAACATACATTACATAAAATACTCCAAAAGCTGTTAATTGACATGAAAATTAACACTAAGTGATTATTTAATACTTACAAGACATGGTAATTAATGAACACCATCTTCCTCCCCTAAGCTTTCCTGTAGCTGAATGTGTTAATCTCAAACCACTGGCTGTCACCATTAGCAGCTTCAGAATCGCTGCTGAAACTTCTGCAAGGATTGGTCACTATGTTATTGTCATCATCAACATCCAAGCAAAGAACTGTTCCGTCCGCCAGCTGCGTCGAAAGATGAACGTTCTGCGATCCCAACAACGGAGTCCACTGAGAATCCGAGACGTCGCACGCAATAACGAGCTTGGCCGGAAGACCAGCTCCAGTGGCTTTCAGGCAGTAATATGTTCCCACAACAGTCAGGAACTTCTGTGGAGTATAGTTCCAGGAATCGCATTCGTCGCAGGGGGATAGCGTCAGGGGATCTTGGTAATGCCTATAGATGCAGGAGTTTGTTGGTGGATGAAAAATTTTGTGATGGGGGCGGGCAAGGGCTTTGATTTCTTGGTCGCCTGGATCATGATTTGATGAAGTGAAAGTATTGTATCAAAACTTTATACTTTACATTTATACCGCCCAAATCTTTCATATTTTAGTTTGAAATCAATCATGACTTTAAAAGCTGTATTTTTATGTGAGCTCAAAGTGTTCATAAGTTGTTGCAGAATAAAAGTGTTAGCAATCCATCTTTATTTGTTGGGGCATTTGCATACATACCACCCAATTCATATGTATTTACATATATATCTAACATATGAGTTTTACTTTTTACAATTAAACAACAAAATCTTTCATATTGTCAAACAAACCACTATTATAACTTTAAAAATGTGGAATACATCTTTTCATGTATGAGTAAGTTGGCATATATGTAAAGATTGAAGTTTAGGTTTTAGATATGTAAATACATAGAAATTAGATCTTTCTTATTTGTTTGGGTTGGTATGATAGCATATATTATGAAGTATATATAGAATTGCATGCAAAAAATAAATAAATACATGAATTATTGTAGTTGGTTTGCAATAACAAAAGCAATGACTATGAAAACAACACATCGATAATTCTTCTAATTGCATAGGACATGTTTGCATATGTTTAACCATTTAGTTCTGATTTGCAGAAAACATGATTAGTATAAATTTAATTATCATCGTAAACTTCATTTAACTAACAAACAAAATGAATAATTCATATTTAATGTTAATTAAGCTTTAATTAAATAAAGATAACATAATGATCATTAAAGCTAAACGTCGGTGAAATTCTCATCATTCCCGGAAGAAACCCTTTTCAATTAGGAAGGTAAAGTGTAGAAATAATTTATTGCTTACCTAATAGAACTCTGTAAAAGCTTCATTTGAGTAAACTAAGCAACAATTTTGTGGCAGAAGTAATTTCCAAAAACGATGGTAGATTTGCCCTCTTTTGTTTCAGAAAAAGACAGAAATCACAAAGGATGCGACAATATTTGGGGATTAAAAGAAAATCGATTATAATTGTGTATTGATATAACCATACCTCGTTGAACGGAAGGTAAAGCCAAAGTGGTCTGAGTTTGAAGCAGTAGGAGCTGAGTGAAGAGCAGGAGAATCACAGAGAGCGCCATTTTTAGGGTTTTGGAGAACAGAAAAAGCTTCGTGTAAATCTTCTCCGAAGAAGAAGACATAGGATTGCTGGTTGATTGGGAGTCGCGACTTCTATGATTTATATGGTATCGCTAGCAGCAAATCTAAATTTTTAGTATTTCTGTTGAGTAAAATAATTAGGTATTTCCGACCCGATGCGAATTTGTCCGATAGATGGACGACTAGAAAACCCTAAATTATAAAATTATAAATCTCTAAAAATTTTCTTATTGCGTGTGGCTGTAGAACTATCTTATGGAGCAGTGATAACTACACTTACAGATAATGGTTCGAAAGTCTGCAGATCCGGATGGTCAGTCACAGATCGCCACGTCGACCGTCGATTAGGTGTATGATGATTTAGTGTTTGGTAGTTGACCGTTCGGACGTACAGTGTCCTGACATAATATTTCCTCTTTACGGCGGTTTGGTCGCATCCAGATCAACGTCCAGACATGTCGCCACACGTAGTATTTTCTCTTCTTATGGGGGTGTTTTATGTTTGGTCTTTAAGTAGGATTTAGTAAATCTACTAAACCTTACTCAATTTTTTAAATATGTATTTAAGCCTGAGTGAATGCAAAATGTGGAGCCTAAACCATAAATTATAACCATGATAAATCTGATTAAAAGGTACTACTAAATGCCCCCTATAAGAGTAATGTTTGTTAGAACGGGTTTTTATTTTTTAGGACTGTTAAAAAAAATTAATTAAGAAAAAGGGCACATTTATAAACATACCGCACAAGCGTATAATTTTACAAATCTAACCACAGGAGCTGGAGTTGGAAATTGTGTGAGCTCTAAGTCACGTGAGATGAGTTGGTCACATGGACCATAGAGGGTGAGTCGTCGCACAGTCTTCAAGGTGTTGTCGTTATACTATCTTCGAGGTGCTTTCATGCACTTTCTTTAGAGTGACACCATTATATCATCTTCGAGGTGCATTGTTACACTATCTTTGAGGCACATCACTACACTAACTTCTGGGAGCATTGCAACATCTTCTTTGGGGTGGTGTCATTAAACCATCGTTGGAATGCGTTCATGCACTGTCTTCAAAGTGTGTTAATGCACCGTCTTAAAGATATGTTACTGTGTCGTTTGTCTTTGGGGTTCATTTTTGTGCTTACTTCGAAGTGTGTTGCTGCACAGTTTTCTTTCACAATGTATGTCAGGATTTCGTGACGCACGTTGTAACTAAACTCCTTCTCTCGGTCCTTCTCTAGACTCAGGTCTAGGTCTCCTCTTAAGAGGGAGGGAGGGAGGGAGGCTCTGTTTATAGAGTCCGGGGTGCAAATAAAGAAGGAATACATACTACTCCTATCAGACGACCTGTAGAGATTCTCTTGATTGGACGATATTTTGTGAACATTTAAGTGTTTTAATTATGTCAAAATTGAGTAATCTTGGGCTACTTAAATTTATCTCATCGAAACATTCAATTTTATTGTAAGCTTCTCATTGGAATCTATTTTAGCTTCAAATTATGAACTCAAAGCTTCCAAAATGGCTAAACGGCTTGATCCATGCTTGATTTGACTCAAATTAGACCAACTTTGGTATCATTGGGTATGTTTCGTCAGACCGGTCATTTTGATTGTAAATTCACCGAAATCAAATGTCCACATGATTTTTAATTGCTAATAATGAAAATGTATTAATGGTGTATAAGTCCTGAAATTTTTAAATTTCATCGTGATAAAGGATATGTTGGAACCAAAATATTTCAAGTATGAAGCGATGTTGAAGCCTGCATGATTGACAAAAATGAAAATAAAATAAATTAAAAATTAGCATAAGATTGTTTGTAGGCTATGTGACGACTCGGAAGTTGGTCGTGTAGATAAGTTATTGAGTTGGCACCCATCAATCGAGATTCGAGACTCTCAATTGGCCTGTTTATGGGACAATATTCTAAAGTTCGTCAATTGCTTTGTCGTCTCGCTTTCGACTTGGCTTAAATTGTCTCATCTTTAACCAAAGCTTGCAATGTTTTGATCATAATTCGATGGAGCATTTACTTACATACCATCAAGTTCTTATGTATTTACATATCTAACACCAAAACTTTAATTTTTTACATTTATTCCGTCCGAATCATTCATATCATTTATACCATCCAAATCTTATATATATATATATATATATATATATATGGGTTGCCTCCCACAAAGTTCTTGG